TCTAGCTATCTATTCTTTTTAACTTATTTACATGTTGTTTTCAATATTGCTTTAAAGCTGACATTCTCTAGGTAAACTCCCTATAACTAGAAGAATACTCAGAATTGAGGCAGTACAGCTCTGTCAATTTGGTTTGAGAGCTCAAAAGACATATGTCGATGTTTAATTAATAACTTTTATTGGGGCAGCTAAGCCACACTGTGGTTGGAGCTCTAGACCCTGGAGTCAGGAGGTCCTGAGTTCAAGTTCAATTTAAAAAAACTTATTAGTTTTGTGATCCTGGTCAATTTACTTAACATCTCTGTCTTAATTTCCTCAACTGTAATGGTACCTACATCCTAGGGTTATAATGAGGATAAAATGAGATATATATAAAGTGTTTTAAGGCATTATATAAATGATAGCTAATAACAATAACAATAAGCTCCCACAAAAAGCAGAGAAAGGAACCCTCATAGACCTGAAGGCCAGTTTGCTCCTACCCAAAAAATAAAATAAAAACAGAACAAGACTTTGAGCCATTTCTTTTTGTCATTCCATCTGGGATACTTTAAATCAGAGGTTCTTAATCTTTGTATACATGTATCATTGTCCTGTTTGACAGGGTGGTAAGCCTATGAACCTCTTCTCAGAATAATGTTTTCAAGTATATAAAATAAAGTATAGGGATATATATAATATATATGTGTGTGTGTGTGTGTGTGTGTGTGTGTGTGTATACACACACACACACATATACACACACACACACACACACACATATATATATATATATATATATATATGTCTCTCTGTATATACATATACATACCTATGTCCATATGCATATATATGTTGTCAGCCCTCCAGAGTTTGGTCTAAAAAGAGATGATGGAATTAAGTTAACACATGCTATTTATTCCCTTTAAGCTATTGAAAACATATGTATAGGAGTCAGAATGATCTGACTCAAAGAAAGGCCAGTTGAAGGAGACCTTATTCCCTTAGAGAAAGGACATGTTCCTCCACCCCCCTCCTAATTCAGGATGCCTGGGTCAACCATAATTATAGTTTCCAAATCTGTCAGCCACAAACATGTGAATGTTATAAAACATGCATGTCATAACAGGATAGTGTCTATAAAACATCAAGGTAAGAGAAGTTTCCATTAATCAAGATAGTGTCTGGTTCAAGGTAAGTGGTCTTTATCAGTCACAAACAGAAAAATTCTTCTGGTCAGCTTCATTCAGCATTGTAAATGTCAGCACAGTAAGAGGACTTGGTGCTTACTCAGAGAGAATATAAAGCATTATGGTATGTTATCTCAAGGTAAACAAAAATGTCTTTCTCCTACTTGGACAATCCAGGTTTGGGGCTTTTTTCAGGTGATGGGGGTTCAAACTGGTTCACATCCACAATACATATACACATATACAGATATATACACATATACATTATATACAATATATAAAAGGAAATCATCTACATTGAAATATTTTTAAAGGTCATAGATTCTGAGTTAAGAGCCTCTGCTCTAAATAGGTGTCCCTAAGAAAAGAAGAGTAGTTAGGTGGCTGCAGTGGATATATTGTTGGCCTGAGTCAGGAGACTTGAGTTCAAATCCTGCCTCAGATGCTCAATAGCTATGTGACCTTGGCCAAGTAACGTAACACTGTTTGCCTCTGTTCTTCCTCTGTAAAAGGAGCTAGGGAAGGTAACAATTGGAATAATACAATATAAATGCAATCTTAATGAAAGCAAATTAATTCCCGGAATCCTCTGAGGTCTTTTCAGAGATATTACTTGTAATAATAGAATAATATAAACAAAATGTTCAATATTAAAAATGTTAAGATATTAAATGATTCATAAAAATGTCTTGTTGGTATTCACTCTGCTGTAAATTGGCTTTAGCTCCTACCTTTTCTTAGACCATTGAGTTCATATACTTCTTGGCTCCTTTGAGTCCCATTCAAACAAATTATAACTCTTTAAATTATGTGGCTGGCACTCCTTGAGAACTCATATTTCATATGTAACCCTCATGCTTATACTCTTATGTTTGCCTGAAACTGGGTTCCTTTTTTATCATTAGGATTTGATTGTAAGCTCAATATGAGTTAAAAGCATGATGTTTCAACTAAAATCTGCTACATGATAGTCCTGGGTCACATGGGCATTAAGACAGTAGACTAGACATTTTCTCCAGTCTTGACAATTTTCCAAATCTCTCTAAAATAGTAATTATTCCGAAGCAATTTCAGTGTCTGAATAGTCTCACTCTAAGAACCCAAAGGAGGCAAAAAAGTAAACAAACAAACAAAAAAACAACCAAATCTAATGCAAACTTGGGTTTTATTTAAAAAGCAGAACAAGAAACATCAGAGTGCTTAAGTCCTATGCCTGATGAGGTCAAAATTGGAGTATTATATTCAGTTGTTAGTACTATACTAGAACACCAAGAACTATTACTAGGTAATTGAATTAACTAACATTAGAGAAGGCTAATCTCTAACCTCTAACATGCTTCCTCAGTTTCCTTGCTCCCACTGTCCACCATCCTTTGTTAGCAGGCTGCACAAGCCAATTCTCTGACTTGCAACAGAATTTTAATTCCCCTTCTTCCCAGTGGCAGAAAACCAAACAGGAGAAGCTTACTTAAGTTTGAAGAGTAGCACAGTAATGTTTTGCCTGGCAAAAGAGCTCAGCCAGAGGACTGAGGAAAAGGGAACTGGGACAATGCATGTTTGTGTCTGTGTGTCTATGTCATCTTCCAGTGCCTAGCATTCCACTGGGGCTGGTACCAGTACTACCCCAGGAGTCATTTTGGGCAGAAACTGAAACCTGTTAAATTTGCATTGCTAAGCATGGGAGGATTAACAAAATTGAAGGCAAATTTCAAAATCAATAAATAAAATGAGGAGCTGGTACTTTTTGAAAAAAAAAGTTAAGCTATTAGCTAATTTGATTGACAATGATGAAAAAAAAACCATAAATTCCCAATATCCAAAACAAAAAAAAAATGGAAAATTCACAATCAATGAGGAAGAATAAAGGAAATTATGTGACAAAAAATAATTAAATAGATGAATGCTACCAAAATACAGCATATGCTGCAATTAAAAGAACAGTAAAGAGAGAACTTATATAACCCAATCTGAGAAAAATAAATTGGAAAACATGTAAATGAACTCCTAATTCAGTCATTCTATAAATTAATTAGGAAATATACTCTAAAAGTCACTAAATTATGCATATCTTTGATGCAGTGTCATTATTAGACCTAATTCCCAAGGATATCAAAGGACAAGGAAAAGGACCAATATATCCCAAAAATGTTTAAAGTTATTTTCATTTTTAGCAGCAAACAACTGGCAACAAAGGAAGTGACTATCAGGAAATGGCTAAACAGCACAGACTGCATTAATGGAATACTATATTGCCATAAGAAATGACAAGAGGAACGGTTTCAGAGAAACCTGAGATTTATATGAACTGATACAGATTGCAAGAAAGAGAAGTAGGAGATCAATTTATGCTGTAACAATATAAAAAAGATGCATACACTTTGACCCAGCAATAGCACTTCTAGGGCTATATCCCAAAGAAAACATACAAATGGGAAAAGGACCCACATGTACAAAAATATTTATTGCAGCTCTTTCTGTGGTGGCAAAGAATTGGAAATTGAGAGGATGCTTATCAATTGGGGTATGGCTGGACAAGTTGTGATATATGAATGTAATGGAATACTATTGTGCTATAAAAAGTGATGAACAGGTTGACTTCCGAAAAACCTAGAAAGACTTGTATGGTCTGATGCTGAGTGAAATGAGCAAAACCAAGAGAATGCTGTCCACAATAACAGCCACGCTGTGCGATGACTAATGTTGATAAACTTAACCCTTCCCAGCAACACAAGGATCTAGTATATCTCCAAAGGCCTTGTGGTGGAAAAAGCTATCCTCAACCAAAGAAAGCACTATGGAGTTTAAATGCAGATCAAAGCACACTGTTTGCTATTTTTTTTCTTCTATTGAGTTTTGTTTCTTCTTTCTGGTGGTTCCTCCTATTGGTTCTAATTCTTACTTACAACATCACTAATGTGAAAATATGTTTAATAGGAATGTATATGTATAGCCTATATCAGATTGTGCACCATCTTGAGGAGGGTGGTGGGGAGAAAGGAGGAGAAAAAATTTAAACTCAAAAGCAAATGGAAGTGATTGTTGATAAATCAAAATAAATTAATAAAAAATAAAAATAAAATACGATACAATATGAAAAGGAAAACAACTTTGAAAAAAATAATCTGAACAATGCTTGGCCACTCATGATTGCAGAGAACCAATGATGAAGCATGTACTCCTCTCCTTAAATACAAAATGCAGAATAACACATATTTTGTATGTGACCAATACTGCAATTTGTTGCATCTGACAATGCGTATTTTTACAAGAATTTTGTTTTCATTTTTTTTCCAGTATGGTAGAGGTGGGGGAAGGAAAAAAAAAACTTGTTAATTGTATAATATATTTATATATACACACACATATATGTGTGTGTGTGTGTGTGTGTTTGTGTGTGTGTGTATACACCGAGAGATACATATATACATATGTATGTGTATGTGTGTGTGTATTGGGAAGTATTGCAAGCAGTGAGTTAGAAATTAAAAAAAAAAAGTATCCTCAAGTAACGGGTCATAGATATATTAACAGAAGTGAATAGAGAGATCTAATATTCCAGGAAAAGAGGAAGGAAGAAAGGATTCACAGAAACTGAAAAATAGAAGAAAAGCTAGAAAGAGTAAAAATGTTGAGTGCTAACAAATAATTCAAAATTCTGAGGAAAATTCATGCTCCACTGATTTTCATTTCATTCTAGGCCTGAAATTAATTCTAAGGCTTGTTCAACCTGGTCCATTTATGGGGAATCAGATAAGCTCATATTGTTTGTTATGTGTGAGAGTAAAAAACAAACCAAAAAATTTCTTAAAAAAAAATTACTGTAGTCACTCATCAGTCCTTCTTCAGACACAGTTTCCCCATGATCTTCTCTCGGATTTGATGAGTTTTCACACAGTATACAATAGGGTTCATCAATGGAGGAATCAAAACATAGATATCAGCAATCAGTATCCTGATAAATGGGGAGCCATGATTGGCAAAGCGGTGGATGATGGCCAGGGTGACAATGGGCACATAGAAAATGAGTACAGCACAAATATGGGAAATACAGGTGTTGAGGGCCTTTAATCGCTCTTGATGAGATGCAATGCCCAAAACTGTCTTTAGGATCAGTATGTAAGACATTGAAATCATTGCTAAGTCCAGCATGCCTACTAGAGCAACAAAAAACCCATAGATGACATTGACACTGTTATCAGAGCAGGCCAGTCTCATAACATCCTGGTGGAGACAATAGGAATGGGAGAGGAGGTTTCTATTACAATACTTCAGTCTATTCAGTGTGATAGGAAATGGGAGTATGAGCATAAGACATCTGATGGCAAAGATCAAACCAATTTTGATGATTCTATTAATGGTAAGGATAGAGCTGTATCTTAGGGGCTTATGGATGGCTATGAAACGGTCAAGGGACATTATGAGCAGCACTGAAGATTCCATGGCAGTGAAGGCATGGAAGAAGAACTCTTGGACAATACAGGCATCAATGGAGATTTTTGCAGCATTGAATAAAAAAATTCTCAACATAGTAGGCAAGGAAGAGAGGGACAGCCCAAGATCAGAAAAGGCCAGCATAGAGAGAAAATAGTACATAGGCTCATGGAGTGAGGGCTCTGTTTTGATTAGAACAAGGATGGTACAATTTCCAACAGTGGCAATAATATATATGAGGCAGATGGGAATGGATATCCAGATGTGGACTTGCTCCAGCCCTGGGATCCCAATTAGTTGGAAGGTGGATATCTGGGCTTCAGATGTGTTAAGAGGTGACATAGCAATGAGAGGTTAGGAAGGCAAGCAGAGTCAGTACGGCAAATGATTTTTCCTCAGATGGTAAAACATAGGCCTAGTTTGTTCACAATCTACAATCTTGAGGACTTTATTGGCACCTGCATTTTCTACAATTTTAAATTAAAATGAAGCATATTATTGTTCATGTGAAACATACATAAGAATGCGTTTTTTTAAAAAACGCTAGTTCAGTTCAACAATGGAAGCAACTGTATTGTGAGGTTATGTGTTCCCCATCAGTGAAAATATTCAAGATTTGGGTTGATGACACTGTCGGCTATTATGTAGATAAGATTCCTTCATGGAGTAGTAGGGAACCTTTTTGCCTCTACCTTGAGCCTAGGTATCCTTCCTTTTGTTTCTTGTTAAAGATAGCTGGAATAGTTTATGTGCTTGAAAAGACCAGGAGGAAATCACCAGGGCCCACCTAAAGAGGAAATTGAGAAAACAAGAAAAACAAAGTTACTGAAAACCTCAATCAGATATAGGTGCTTGTGGGGAGCAGGTATGGTGCTAGATCTTCCATGCCAATAGTAGAAATAGGAATGCAAGGTGGGGATGATGGCAACAAATGAGATCCTTCATTTATTATTAGAAACTTCACAGAAAGACAGCAACTAAGTGGTGCAATGGATAGATTACCAGGCCTAGAGTCAGGAATACTCATTTTCCTTAGTTCAAATCTGACCTCCGACATTTCCCAGTTGTGCAACTCTGGGCAAATCACTTAACTCTGTTTTCCTCAATTCCTTCATCTGTAAAATGTTCTGGAGAAGGAAGGATCAAACCACTCTATTATCTTTGCCAAGAAAACCTCAAGTGATGTCACAAAGAGTTGGACAAAACTGGAAAACAAAAACAACCTGTGAGATAATTGCTTCTAGGTCAGGCTTTATGGGAAAATTTACAAGATGGGTAGGGAGAAGGGTGTTTGACACTGGCAGTGAGGGATGGCATTTCTAGCTTTCTAAAAAAAAAGATAGATGATTATGATAGATAGATAGATAGATAGATAGATAGATAGATAGATAGATATAGAGATCTATTTAGGGCAGCTAGGTGGTATAGTGGCTAGAGTTCTGGGCCTAGAGTCAGGAAGACTCATCTCTATAAGTTCATTTACCTTGTTTGCCTCCCTTTTCTCATCTGTGAAATGAACTGCAAAAAGAAATGGCAAAACACTCACTCCAGTGTCTTTGCCAAGAAAACCCCAAATTAGATCATGAAGAATCAGACATGACCGAACAACAACAATAGATATATGCAAATGTATTATATACATATATATATATATATATGTATATATATATATATATATATGTATATGAGAACAGCATACTTAGAAGTCTAATCTACATTATTAACATTTTCTCCATCACTTTCTTAAGTCTTTGTTTTTAGTCAGTTGTTCAGTCATGACTGACTCTTAGTGATCCAATGGACCATAGTACACCAGGCCCTTCTATTCCCCACTATCATTAGTCTGTCCAGGTTCGTGTCTTGTATTTACATGATGCTATCTATCCATCTCATCCTCTGCTCTTCCCATTTTCTTTTAACTTTAATCTTTCTCAACTTAGGGTCTTTTCTGTTTCCTCATTATGTGGACAAACTATTTAAGCTTCAGCTTCAGTATTTGACCTTCCAGTGAAAAGACTGAATTAATTCCTTTAAGTATTAACTGATTTGACCTCCTTTCTGTCCAAAGGACTCTCAAAAGTCTTCTCCAGCCCCACAGTTTGAAATCGACAAAACAATAAATCAAGCCCTGATTTGTAGTGCTTGCTGATTTCTAAGATGTAAATGCTCTGACTATAAGTTTGACAATAAGTTCTCATGAGCCAATTTAAGTTGGACCCAGACATTGCTATATATAAAACGATGAAGAAGATGCCTTCTGCTATGAGAGAATCATATGATTTAGAAGGTAAGGGACTACAGAGCTCATCTATACCCTGGCTGACTTTTCAGTTCCCTTGAAATCATAAAATAGGAAATCTATAAAGGTGTCTTAGAGACCAACTGATCCTAAACTACATTTTTCAGAGAAAGAATCTGAGCACCAGGAAGCAACATGGCTTTTCTCAAAGTCTCAGCATTACTGGATCTTAACAGCAGATGAGACAGCATCAAAATACAGGTTCCCTTAATCTCACTTCAGTACCCTTTGCACTGAACCATATTTTCTCTTTTTGCACCCTTCTCAAAATATGCATATTTTCTCTAAAACAGATAGTTTTATACATCTTCAAATTTTCAAATAAAATGCTAGCAACTAAAGTGGAAAAACACTCTATGTTAGTTGTTCCAAAAATATTTTTTAAAAACTTCTATATATTTTGTACATTTAGTGCAGAGGAGAAAAGTTGTACTTATACCCTACACTCCCTTGTAAATAGCAACAAATGTGGATGGCAACACTATATAGAGCTACTTAATGAGGTGATTAATATAAATGTTCTTTAAAAAAATGAAAACATGGGAGTGGAGATGATAATTTACTATCAGAAGAACCTATAAGGCTGAATTCAAATCTGTCCTACCATTTCTTACCTGTCAGTTGTCCTTCTTTCTGTCCCTTGGTTTCTGTATCTATGAACTAGGGGGTTAGAGGGAACTTTGATTAATATCTAAGGCATCTTCCAAGTCTAAAACCCTATGATCCAGTCATTATTAGAATGACACTTGATATGACAGTATTCCCAAGATGCTTTCTGTCAGTGCTACCATAGCGACCATGATATCCTTTGTTTATCAACTCCTCACTCAGACCTATGTTTGATTCTGTCCATGGAATTTCCCCTAAATTTTTCCCAGGCTTTGGTTTTTTCTGTCTTTTTTTTTCCTTTTATAGGAGTCACTCCTCAATGGATTACTAACAACTGATATTTATAGTGCACTTAATATTTACCAGAGACTATGCTAAGTGCTTTAAAATCATTATGTCATTTGAGTCTCATAACAGTCCTGAGAGGTAGGTGACATTGTTATCCCCATTTTACAGGAGGAGAAGATTAAGCAAAGAGTTTAAATGACTTGCCTAAGGTAACACAGCTAGTAAGTGACTGAGGCTAGATTTGAACTCAGGTCCTCCTAACTCAAGGCCCTGCACTCTATCCATTATGCCACCTAGCATACACACAGACATACACACACAATATATATTTGCACTCACATATATGTATACAAATATACATATATATATATGTATATATATATATATATATGATTGTCATCATTGTTATCATTGATGTTATTTGCAACAGCATGAACTAGATGCTATTTATCCTTGTTGTATTCATAAAAATGTTCTTGGCTTATGAATGACTTTCTTAAAGTGTGGTACTCAGATCTGAACATAGTACTGAAGATATCATCTGATCAGGGCAGAATACAGTGGGACTCTAACCTCCTTTTTTCTGGAAGCTGTACATCTCTTAATTTAGCCACAGATTTCACTCACTTTTTCGGCAGCTATCTCACTGTCTTTAGGGGTTTGTGGTCTGCCAAGTGTCCATATCTTTTTTTCAGACAAAATGCTATCTAATCTTAGTTCCCCATCTTGTATTAATGTATGTATGTGTTTTATGAGGGGTCAATGTGAGAGGCGGAATGACCTGTATAATAAATCAGGCTTCATCAGGGAAAAAAAAGGGAAAACAAATGTCTATTACACAGTGGAATAAGTTCTCTCAGGAAGAAGTTGATCTCATTCATTTTAAGTTTCTGAGAAGAGGTAGATCTGGCATTATTAACCTTTTTTCTGTCATAGAATATTTTGAAAATCTAAGGGATGCTTATGAGCCCCTGTCAGAATAATATTTTATTAACTACATTCATAATTAAAGGAAATGCTATATTTATTTTAAAAATTAGTGAAGAAAAACATGCATTTTCGGCAATCCAAGTTCATAAGTGCTCTGTAATCTATCCATAGACATCTTAGGTTCCGTGGACCCTGGTTAAGAGCCCCAGGATAGAGATTCACCAATGTCATAGGATTTTAGAGATGAGGAAGACAACTTAGAGATCAATTCCAACATCGTTATTTACCAATGAGTGAACTAATATTATTGAAGGCATTGTATATCCAGTATAGGTTGGATTAGATATCTCTGAGGTCTTTTACAAAACTGAGATTTTTTTGAGTCTGTGATTTATGACTGCCTGACCTCTGAATTCTCTACTAATTCATTCATTTCTAAGCTCAATGAACTCATGGACAACATCTTAGCTAAACTAAACATCTATTCTTCATTGTTATTGTTTTTCAGTCATTTTTCAGTCACATCTCACTTTCTGTGACTCAATTTGGAGTTTTCATGGCAAAGATACTAAAGTTGTTTGCCAGTTTTTTCTCCAGATCATTTACTCATTTTACAGATGAGGGGCTGAGGCACACAGGATTAAATGACTTGCCTAGGATCACACAGCTAGTGTCTGAAGCTAGATTTGAACTCAGAAAGATGAGTTCATCTATCTAACATCTATTCTAGCACTTACTGATGGCTCTTTCCACAGTAAAGTTGTTTTAAAAATTTAAATGTTTTAAAAAATTAAATTAGTGCTACTTTAATTTGTTCTGAATTAATTCATCAACCAATTGATGTCTAAGTCTTTCTTTGAACCCTCCCTCAAAAAAAAAAAAGCCAAACATAGCTCTTTTTTTAACCTCTATTCTCACATGATGTGAATGTTATCATTAGCTGGAGAAGCAAGGATTCGGGATGATAAATTGAAAACAAAGTGACCAGACTAAAGACAGAGTTAGACATCAATGAACACTAAGATCCTAATTTGCTTTCCTTTTTATAATCTGAACCCTGATCAATTCATTCTTTTTGTCAGACTTCTTATATTTATGAAAAGACTAGATTATGTTCTGAAGACTTTACCCTTGCCCCATTTAGTCTTAGAGTGTGGACAGTACTGGAATCTCCCTCTCTACCTTTAACATGTCCCCCTTAGATAGTGAGCAAAGG